TCTCTTTGCCCCAAAACCCCCTTCGAAACTAAGGGGGGGGGGGGGGGGGGAGAGGTGCAAAATGTAACATGTATCTTAGCTAGATGAGGCGAGGCCGCGTCCTGGGCTGCTTCATGTGATGCCAACGCTTCGGTCGTGTCTGTCGAATAAACACGATCGTACGTAGAGTTCACACACGACACAGCACAGCACCGCACTTACCGTCCCCCCCCTTTTTCTAACCAAAACACAACGGATTCCTAACATCCACCAACAAAGAGTCCGGGCGAACTTTAGCAACACCGGGCAAAGTGAAATCATAGCGTTGCTACAACAAGGCGCGGAACGGTGTTCTCATGCACACTTGCCCGCAGCCCGCATTCATTGTGGCACACCACGAGCGTTTGTTCTTTACACACGTATATTGTACACTGGCAGAGAAACCCGAAAATTTCAGCTGACCTTCACCGGCACTCTTGAGCACCAGCTCTATCTCCGGCTTCGGGCCCGGCCCGTTCATCATCAGGCGCCCGAGGACCTCGGGCGTGAGGCGTATGGTCATCCCCGTGTGCGGCTTCCTGATGCCACCGCCCACGCCGGGACGCGGTGCAACCTCCACGTCCGGCGCGGACGGACCAAAGCACCCCCCGGCTGCTGCTGCTGCTGCTGCTGTTGCTGCTGCTATAGTAGCAGCACGACGACGGGCGAGATCGATGTTGTCTTGTTCAAAGCCGGTTGTCGGGGGGGCGTGATGGCGCTCACCGGTTACGCCGGCTGCAGCCGCTGCTGCCGCCGCTGCTGCCGCTGCTGCTGGTCGTGCCGTCCTCATGATGATCGGTGTCGGATTTTAAAAAATTAGCACAGCAATGGTGAGAGAGAGATGTATCAAGGGTCGCTTGTGTTTCTGGTCCACGCGCTTTGCGCCTGCACTCTGTTACTGCTACTCTCGTTGTCTCGGTGCCTGCTGCCATTGAACCAGAAGGAGCCATGTAACAGAGAGAGCGCAGCAACAATCCTGCACATCACGGGCCGGGGTAGGTAGAGGGCAGTGTCCTCCAGCATCACATCACCTAGGTCTGCATTCTGCGGAACCCCCAAGTTGCCCCGCTTTTGTCCCCTACACACACTCACACTCCACTCCATAACTTGTTGACCAAAAAAAGAGTCCATCACACAGCCGTGCCCAGCCAGATACCCACGGTAGAAATAAATTGTTCCAAACATGAGCGGGAGTGCAGGGGCAAGCAGCAGCAGCAACAGCAGCAGCAGCAGTCCGACGCCGGCGGCAGCAATCCAGCGCGGTTTGCCCGCAGGTACGATTTCGGCCCGGTGTTCAATCAACCTCGCAATACATTTTTCAAGCAAAAGAAAGAGCTCCCCCTTTTGCTTGCCCGAGTTTGTGTGTGTGTCCCGATCTCCGAAGAAAATGCTGTGCAGTTTTTCACTGTTGTTGTGTCCGGCGCTTCTGTGCTGCTTGCCATCATTCGTGAACATACATACGTGGTAGGTGTGTTTTTATACGCGAGCGCTCTCTCTCTGCTGCGGAACGCACCGCTGCGTATTGGTGGGCGTCGCCACAACCAACGTTACCCCCCGGTTCGATGATGTTGCGGTCCTCACTGATTTGTCACCAAACAATTTGGGGCCTACATGATTTTTCTTTGTGGTTGGTGGGTGTTTTGTGTTCGCAAATATGTGTGGTTCGGCCCTACTCCTAAAATGGACTCCAACTTACCGGTAGCTGTAAAACTCCCCAACGTTGAAGTGCAGGGGGGGGCAGGGGCGGCTCTGCCGCTGCTGCTGTGGCGAGTGTTTGTGAGCGTGGTCTTGAGACCGCCGCCGCATGGCAGCTGATTGGTCGTTGTTCAAAAAAGTTGGGAGGAAATAAGAGGTCGCGGAGCAGCAGCGAGGTCGGCCGGGAATACAGAAAAGTGCCTTGCGGTGATTTTGTTGTTCCGGACTTCCGGTGGCTACCGCTGTTGTGTGCGTTCAACAATCTGAGCAGTCCGAAGTTTTACTACATCTACATAGCCGTTGGTGCTCTCTCTTCTGTTCGCACTTCAACACGCCCCACGGGGAACATACAATAGCAGGGAGAAGAACCAGCCAGGCCTTGTTGCGCTGCGGGGCAAGGCTGGCTGTAGTGGCGCTCTTTCATGACGCCGGTAGTACATCAAGGGCACACACGCGCCACAACAACAACAACAAAACCCTGATTTTGCTCCGTGCATGATCTTTTTTCTATTTAGCGTAAGAATGGGTAGTCTTTCTGTGTGTGTTTTTATTATTCCTTAATACGACACAGCTTCTATCTTGTATTTCCACCCAACCCTTCACGTTGTGTCACTCACGCTCTTCTTCCCGTCGCACTCTAAAATACTTCGAAGTACCATCGCAAATCACCAGCGGGCGGGCGTTCATGCCCCACGACTGCAAGCACAAGCAGCGCCGACCCGCAGCGACGCGGTTGTTTGTGGGGGCGCCAGAACCCAAGTCTTTTTGTTTCCTGCTTTCCCTCTCGCCTGATGCCTGCTACAAAAATCGGCGGGCGCAGCCTTGAAGCTGTGTCGTTGGGCGTAACCACTAGTATGCATATGTAGGATTTCGACTTTTTTTTATGTCTTCGCATTCTTTTTCTCCGCCGCTGGGACATGGTTTTTTCTCGCACTTTCTTCTGCATGGCACCCAGAGGACTCGTCGGTATATTACCCGTTGCGTGTGGGGCTCGCGAGACACCGGTGGTGCGCGTTAGGGCCGCCTAAAGCCGCTGGGACTGGCTCTTTTTTCAGGTTGGCAATCCGAACCATAAAAGCCTCCTCGAACGGCATGAAACCTGAAACAGAACAACAATTGTTTTTGCCCCGCCCCACGCGGAGACGCGGAGCCTTTGGTTACACATTGATAGTAACTCTTTAGGACTAACCGATGTTGAACGTAGCAAGGCTAGGTTCTTCACGCGAGCAAGGCTAGGTTGCTCACCCCACATCTACCCTAACCCTAACCCTAACCCTCACCCACGGCCAAAGCACGGCCTAGCGGCCGCGAACTGGGCGGCACGCGGCTGCGCCGCGTGCTCGGAATGCGGAACGGGGAGAGGGCGCTGGAGAGGAATCGGCCGCCAGAACCAACGCCGAACAACACCCGACCAATCAGAACGCGTTAGTCCTAAAGATCTATCAAATGTGCAAACACTACTCCCCACGCGCCACGCGCCCGCGCGCCCACACAGTAGCTGGCGCATGCGTACCCACAGCGGGGACCAAGACTCGTGATGTTGCTCATGGGAACACACCAGCGACACAGAAGTCTTCTCGCACAAATCTTGCAGCGGACATGTAAATTTCAATTCCGAAAAATCGGATATGAAGTTATAATAGTTGTGGTTTTGCTGTAGCAGTCTACAGCTGTGAACTGTTCTTGGGCACGTTGAGCGTCTCTTTGATCCGTTGTTGGTGTTTGCTTGAAAAAAGTCCCACAGACCATGGGAAACATGATCACTCGAGAAGAGAAAGTGAGATCAAACGCAGCGGATTACAGGTAGTAGGACCTGCAACAAAGAAGCCGCTATTAATATTAGCTAGCCACCAACGCAGGCGAAAAAGTCACGGCGGGAGAAGAAAATAAAATATCCCCCGCACATGATGCGAATTCCAGGCAAATATGCATAGTAGTATTTATGTTGCACGCAAGCCGGCACTACCGAGCGTCATGAAGACCAACCATCCATGCGACCGCGATGGCATTGATTGGCCATGTCCCTTGCGTCGCGCCCGGGAGGCACACCTTGCGGATATGCCCGGCTTGTTTTTCACCTCCCGCCCCCCTTTCAAACTCTGCGTAGACTCTCAACGGCAGTATAAAACGAAAGTCGCCGGTGGAAATATCTTTCGAAATATCTCGCACCGCCACCACATAACTTGTGGTAAGAATTACGCCCAGCCTGCCCCCGCCTTTTGTCGCACATGTATGATCAGGGTCGAACCTTTGCGCCAGGGGTGCGCAAGTCTTCCACCCCGCGATCTGCCTATGGTTGGGATGAGTTTGTAGATGGGGTGTACTGTATGATTTGAATTCCATGTGAAGAAACCAGGTTTGCGAGTGTGACCCGCTGCGCCAGCAAGATGTGCAGTTGCTTGCGAAACGGACATCCCCTAGCCGAACTACTGCTGAACTTCGATTGCAACCGGATATTGTTTCGGTTGTCCCCGGACAAGCTCGTATTTTTGGCGTGTGCGTGCACGTACTACTGCTTGCTGTGAGTGGAATTTGGCGGCACTCAACATCGGACAGAAACAAAGCTGGGATAGCGTACGACAACACAACTGGGTTTTTCCTGGCCAAGAAACGACTCATCACCTGGGTACGTAAATTCAGCGTGAAAGTGAGCCTATCATATCTCATTGGGTCGACGCCCACTTTCGCCCTTTGCCGCGTCAAAAAAAGGTCCGCAGTGTATGCCATGCCGCGGCTACTTTTTCCCTGTAATTCTACCCCAGTGTATCCTGCCTTTGGCAAGAATAACTCTCCGCCCCAACCAAACACTCTTCAGTGTATGTAGAGGACTACTGTACACCCTTCGGTGCATTTTTCGTACAAAGACTACTTGTTTCTCCCAGCCCCACAAAACTTTTTTTCTTAAATGTGTATGGTACCCTTTTGGGGTTGTTGGCACGTGTACTGCTGTACGTACCCTGCGACGACCGGAAATGGAGCCCTTCCACCGGCCGTTTTCTCCGCAGTAACGAGCGGAGGGCTCTAGAATATCTGTCGTTGATTTCTATTGGCTTGCGGACCCTTCGGGTCCATTTTGAGGATCCCTTGTTTAGGGTAAGTTAGCCTGTGACCACACGGGAATCGACGGCGTCAAAGGTTACATCAATACACGGCCCCGGCCGCGGAAGACATAACGTTCAAAATTCAAACTGAGCTGCTGGATAGAGAGATCGGAACGGTTGTTGACGTGCAGACAACAACAACGACAACGACAACGACAACGACAACAACAAAGTCAACTCTAACCGAAGGTCACTACAAGCACCAAGTCTTTCACCTCCAAACAAACGTTGTTGTTTTATTTACATAGTAAGTGTGTACCCATTTTTTGGGTGGTCGGACCATTGGGGAAGGCGTCCCGCAGAAGTGGGCCCGGGGACTAGAAGCGCTTCAAGTATATGGATGTTTGAAGTTACTGAGCAGAAACCGGCACGGACTTTTCATGTGAAGTTGGGCAAGGCAACAGCAACAACAACCAAGATGGGTGGCAAGCCGCAAGCAACCGACATACGAGAAACGCTCCATGGTCGAACGAACAATGGTTGACACGTCGGCCGAAGCGAACACGCTTGCAGCATTCCAGAAGAGTATTGTGGTGCCAGAGAGAGGGCCAGAGAGAGACATACACACACGGCCGAACAAGTAACATTGACAACGGGCGAAGTGCAGGGGAAGTAGCTACGGTGGTAGACTTTCCCCCGTGATTGGAACGCCATGTCGCAGTAGAGGCCAAAGGTTTTTCAATTGGGCAGCTGCAACGCAAGCCTGCTGAGGTTCCGGCTTTCCTGAAGCCAGACCCTTGCACTTACCATCTCCGTGCCGGTGTGATGATCGATTTCTTTTTGGGCGGTTTGTTTGAGCAACAGCAGTAGCAGTCAGTGTGGCGTACAAAATGTGACAGCTGTTTGTGTGGAATGGGTGAGCGTGGGAGAATCATGGCGTGCATTTTCACGAGCTCCGCGTGCGATGATTCGTTTCGTGCGTGTGTCTCCGCTCCCTCTCTCCCGTCACCACGCATTCGCTCGCTCATGGAATGCTGCATCGCATGCTCGGTTAGGTCGGCGTAATTCAACCGTTCTTCGTTCAACCAATGATGCGTGTCTCGGATGTCGATTGCCGTATTTAGTTCTGGGTATCGTTGCTGCTGCTGCTGTTGTTGTTGTTGTTGTTGTTTCCGTTCCGAATTCTGCACAGCAACGGTTTAACTGACGCAGACGCTTTGTGTAGCCACAGACCAACCACCCTAAAGGTTTACATACACACTTTCTTGCTAGTTTTGAGCTGGAAGACTGGTGTTTTTTTGTGTCTTTTTGTTGGAGCAGAAAAACTATTCCTACGGAGAAAATGGCGGAATGGAAGGTAGGTCCCATTTCCCGTCTTGGCGGAGTTCACTTGAGAAGTTTGGGCACAAGTTCAGGAGGCAAGTGCCCGCAGTAGGGCAATCCCGGGCTTTATGTACCACGGCAGGGTGCAAAGTGGGTGTCGGCCAATCAGCTAGGCTCATTGCACGCTGATTAAATTTTTTTGTTACCCGACCGAGACGCTTATTGGCCAGCGGTTGCGCCGTCTCGTATGAGGTACGATGGTATGACCTGTGTACAAGACGTTCCTGGTTAATGTGTTTAGTGGGTAAGTCAAACAGCAAACAAGTACGCCCCTTTGCTCACCCCCCCCCCCCCCAAAACCACAACCAACAAAGCCCCAC